ACTAGTCAGAAGAGGCTCCTGAGACCGATGGTGTGAGAGGCTCTTATATTCATACTGGCTACAAGAGGCCCCTGAGACTGATAGTCAGAGAGGTCCACTCCTAATGAATCTGAGGGGGGCCTTCTATCCACATTTACACTTTTCTAGGGAGGCCCCCGAGACTGATGGTCTGAGAGGCCCTTTTATTTATACTGTCCACAGGAGCCCCCTGATATAAATGGTCTGAGAGGCTCTTTTATTTATACTAACCAGAAAAGGCCCCTAGGTAGGATTGATGGTCTAACAGGCCCTTCTATCTATACTAGCCAGAGGAGGCCCATGAGACTGATTGTCTGAGAGGCCCTTCTATTCAAACTAGGCAGATGAGGCCCCTGAGAATGATAGTCCGAAGAGCCATGCGGCGGCAACTGGCCGTGGCCATATTTCGGCCCGGTGGGGCCCCACAGAGCTCATGAGAGCACCTCAAGGGCTCCTAAGTAGACACGCTTATCCCCATAAGGGTGCCACGCCGGCTTCTGAAGGCTCCTTGCAGGCATCTAAGGGCCCTTTCCGGCCTCTAACGGCTCCACCCGCCTGTGATGGCTCCACACCAGTGTTTATGAGCGTCACACAGCGGCGCCTTTGAGGGTCATACTAGTGTCTCTTAGGGCCCTATATCGGTGGCTCTGGGGTCCCCACACCGGCGCCTCTGTGGGCCACCACACCTGCGCATCTCAAGGCTCTATAGGTACATCTGAAGGACCCACACCGACACCTCGGAGGGCCCCATACCAGTATCTCGGAGCTCTGAAGGCCCCACACCGGTGACTCTGAGGACTCACCGGCTCCTGAGAGCACCATGTTGATGTCTAACGGCTCCACAAGGCCACTGAAGGCACCACACAAGTTCTCACTGAGCTCTAATGTCCATGTACCGGTCTCTGAGGGATTTAAGCCAGCGCATTCATAGCTCCACACCAGCAATTGTAAGGGCTTCACACTGAAGTATCTGAGGGTTCCACACCGGTGTCTCTAAGGGCCACATACCGGCATCTCTGAGGGCCCCATACCGGCGTCTCCGAGGGTCCACATCTGGCGGGCACCCATCAGCGACTGAAGGTCCCACACTGTCGACTCCGAGAGCCCCATCTGCGTCTGGGAGCAACATGCCGTCTCTAAGAACCACAGCGGCTCCTCCGTACGAAAGATGGGCGTCTGCATGCCAAAGGGGAGCGGTTCTGAGACAGTAGGGCACCTACGTGCAATATCTAGAGGGGCGCCTATGAAGCCCATAGGGGCACCTCAATGCGCAAGAGGGGCGCCTCTGAGGCCTACATAATATATGGGCGTCCACATGCAATAGAGGTCTGCATTGATCAATGCCATGGGGGTGCATTCATAAGAAACATGGGCGCCGGCATGGCAAAGAGAGGCGCCTTCAAGTGTCCATAAAAGAGAGACGCCTATGATAAGCGCACATTGTATGCGACAACGGGGCGACTGTGGGACATATAGGATGTCTCTGATGACTATACATAGGGCGCTTATATGCCAAAGAGGGCGCCTATGAAGCTAATGGGGGCACCTGGGAAACGAGGAAGACATTTGTGTAAGGGTTTTCAGGGGTCATGCGCCGTTTGCGGCAAATAGATTCTAAAAAAAAAAATCGGAGGGGGAATAAGTTTTAAAAATGGTGCGGACTTTCCGCACTGTTCGCTTAAGCGGTTACGCCCCTGGGTACATCTGCCCGAGCCCCGATTTCAGAAGCTAGATTTGGAGGTCATACTTGAAAGCAGCCAGCAGGACGAGGCAAAAGTTGGAGGCCCCTGAAAATAGGAGGCTTCGAAAAAGGAGGCCCCTTGATAGGGTGGCCCACCCACTTTTCATGACGTTCCTACGCCCGTGGCCGAGCATACCATATGTTATTGGTTGAACACTGGGACATGTGACCTGTGGGCATTGGCGGTCGCAGGGGGGGGGGGGGCCATAAGGGCCATGGCTCCCCCCCAAAGGCAAATCAGGGGGGCCATCATATCATTTGCCCCCCCCCCCCAAACAACCGATGGGCCCCCCTGGGCGTATGGGGCTCTGGCCGTATTCGATTGTCACGAGGCTCGAGAAACCCACGCCAGCTTTTAACAGCTCCCATACCGGTCTTTGAGGGTCCTACACTGACCTCTGAGGGCCCTTCAGTGGCGGTCAAGCGCCCACATTGACTGCTGAGGACCCACGTTGACCTCTGAGGGCCCTCCACTGGCCTTTGAGGGCCCCTAAACCGGTCTCAGGGGCCCAACCGGTGGCTGAGGGCCTCACACAGGCTCTGGTGGCCTCATTTCTGTCTCAAGACTAGCCTTTAATTGCCTCTGAGGGCCCGCACCGGATTCTGAAGACCCGATGTCGGACTCTTAGAGCCCGGATCGACCTCTGAGGGCCCCTCTTGGTCTTTGAGGGCCCTCCGCTGGTCTCTGGGGTCCAACGCCGGCCTATGCCGGTCTTTTAGGGCCCCACACTGACCTCTAAGGGCCCCATGCTAGCCTGTAAGGACCCACATTAGCCTCTGAGGCCCCCCGCACTGGATTCTGAAGACCCAATGCCAGCCTCCAAGGGCCCGCATCGGCCTCTGAGGGCCCATCTTGGCCTTTAAGGGCCCTCCGCTGGCCTCTGGGGTCCAACGCCAGCCCATGCCGGTCTTTCAGGGCCCCACACTGACCTCTGAGGGCCCTATGCTGGCTTGTAAGGACACATATTAGCCTCTATGGGCCCCGCACTGGATTTTGAAGACCCGATGCCGGCCTCTAAGCGCCCGCATCGGCCTCTGAGGGCCCATCTTGCCCTTTAAGGGCCCTCCGCTGGCCTCTGGGGTCCAACGCCAGCCCATGCCGGTCTTTTAGGGCCCCACACTGACCTCTGAGGGCCCTATGCTGGCTTGTAAGGACACATATTAGCATCTATGGGCCCCGCACTGGATTTTGAAGACCCGATGCCGGCCTCTAAGGGCCTGCATCGGCCTCTGAGGGCCCATCTTGGCCTTTGAGGGCCCCCTGCTGGCCTCTGGGGTTCAACGCCAGCCCATGCCAGTCTTTCAGGGCCTCATTCTGACCTCTGAGGGCCCCATGCTGGGCTGTAAGGGCGCACATTAGCCTCTGAGGGCCCCGCACTGGATTCGGAACACCCGATGCTGGCCTCTTTGGGCCCGCATCACCTTTGAGGGCCCATCTTTGGCCTTTGAGGCTGGCCTCTGGGGTCCAACGCCGACCCATGTCGGTCTTTTACGACCCCACGCTAACCTCTGAGGGCCCATGCTGGCCTGTAAGGACCCACATTAGCATCTGAGTGCCCAAGTCGGTCTCTGATGGTCTCAAACTGCCCTTTGCAGGCCCTGTACTGGTCTCTGAGGGCCCTAAACTGGCCTCTAATGGCCCAAACCGGCCTCTAAAGGTTCCACACCGGCCTCTGATGGTCCCATTTCTGTCTCTGGGACCCAAACTGACCCTTATGTGCCTCTGAGGGCCCGTACTGGCTTCTGAAGGATCGATGCCGGCTTCTGAGGACCCATACCGGTCTTTAAGGGCCTCACACCGACATCTGAGGTGCCCCAAACTGGCCTCTATATGCCCCCAACAGGCCTATGAGGTCTCTATACCGGCCACTGATGGCCCTATTATGTTCTATGGGGCCCAAGACTTACCTTTGGGCGTCACGCACTTGCCTCTGAGGGCCCACATCAGCCTCTGGGGCCCCATCTGGTGCCTTTGAGGCCCTTCGCTGACCCTTGGGTCCAACGCCGGCATCTGGGGGGCCTGACACTATACTCTAAGGGCCACATTGCAGCCTCTATGCGATAGGTATCGCCGAAGCGTTATCCATGGACCTATAAGTGTAGGAACCATGGGTGCAGTGGGTGCAGTTGCACCAACAATAATTATCCAGTGGGTGCAGACAATGTATTGTGCACCCACAATAATCTGGAATAAAAACCCCTTTTCTCATCAACACTACTTTCGATGCAGCACGACAAATTCAGGATATTTTGCCCACTACTATCCATCTTTCGATGCATTTGCTACTATGGTGGTCTTCAAAACTTACATTTGTGCTCAAGTAAAAATAAGAACCGAAACACATGTGATTGAACACATACCGATGACCCACTGTCAAAAGTTTTCGCACGGTATCTTCGAAAATGGCTAAGTTAGCCGGTTTTACTTTTTGCGGTAGTCAATTCACATTTGCGTGAATTATTGACATTACCAATGCTTCAAAATGAACTTACCTTTTCGACATGGTACACCCTCAAAGCTGGCAATGAGCCTCCGCTCGGGTGCCGCTCCCTACCCCCCCCCCTCCCCGCTTCACCGGCCATGGCTGGATTTCTGCACCCATGCACTACGCCCGTGGGCCCCTTTAAGCTAGCACCGGGCCCCCCGGGTCAGTGCAGGGGCCCCTTATAGCCAAGTTGCCCCCCCCCCAAACGCCAAGTCTGCGACCGCCCCTGCCTGTGGGTTTGGCACCTGTGCCGCCCTTCGTTTGATTTGGAGCGTCGCTTAAAGGTTTTTGCCCTTTGTAAGTTTGTCGGCACGTGGCACGCGCCATGTGACACCGGGTGACCTGTGACATGCATCATCACCTGCCTCAAGGCATTACCCGTCGAACGGTACCACCAGCATCTCGATCCGACCACCCGTTTAGACGCAATTCTAATTGTATTGGCTCGATGACCTTCCAGAACATTTTTTTTTTTTGCAGCGTAAGATGGCGCCTTGTTGGCTTCACCTGAATGGAAGTGGTTGCGGGTCCAGTTTATTTATACGTCCGTGGCCGGCTACCACAATATCGGAGCAAACTCGCCCCTTTATCCCCTCCCCTCTGTCTCGGCGCAGTGGTGGCCGGCCCAGTGCACTCCCGACACTACGCGAGATCCTTAGTATAACGACTGCACATATAGCAAATGTTGAGTATCCATGACAAGTTGGATTGGATGATGATGTAAATAATAAGCAAATTGTTACAAATGCATTCAAATATATTCATATCCTCTCTTTTTGAAAATATTTGAATGCATTTGTAACAATTTGCTTATTATTTACATCATCATCCAACATATAGTAAAAAGAATGCGCATAGCATTAGCTGCAGCTTTTATGCCGCGTCCTCTCCGCGCTCCCGACATCTCTCACAACTTCTCGAGCGCCTTGGGGTTGAACATGATGTCTCTGAGCAGGCGCCACACTTGTTTGGCGCCCGCGTCCATGGCGGCCGGCGATATGCCCTTGTAGAGGTTCAGCGCCGGCAGGAAGTAATGCGGGCAGCGCCGGTTCTGCAGACACGAGATGAGCTGCACCAGTAGGCCCAGTACCCGGTCGTAGATGGCCGACTCGTCCCACTCCAGTTCGCGAGGGTGCTTCTCGCACTCGTACAGCAGCAGGATCTGCGGAACAGAGAGGTTGCGCTCAGAATCGGTACATAAATGGCGAGCACCCGGAGGGGGAGTTGGGAAGTTGGAACGCCTGCAGAATATCATAATGTATTGCAGTAGTGCAGCCATTTTTTCCAAATGAATGGCTCCAAGTATGTTTTCCGAATAAGCACTTATTATAGCAAGCGAAACGGGCAAAAGCTGAGCCTTAGAAAATCGAACGTCGACTAATTTTAACATGTAATTTATTCCCGATATAATTTCCATACTTGCGTTTTGGATCTAGATATTTGATCCAAAAGGATATCTAGATTTTCGATCCACTAGAGGTACACGTTTACGCGATAACTGTATGTTTTGATTCAACCCTCGCCCTGGCAGGGCATTTTTCATAACACGGCCTGGCAGGGGGGGGGGGGGGTTCGATGCGACCTCGGGCCTACCGGCCCTCGGTACTTTCAATTAAAAATCTCGGTGACACAATTAAATTTTCCCAGCCCCGGGCAGGAATGTAGGCATTATATCTGATTTGACCTAAGGTAAACGTTTTAGCGGAGGACGTTTATCTGTAATACTTTTGGCTCAGACCTGCACGAGATTAATTTAACCGGCATCGTGTTTCATTTTTCGAGACGAGTCAAATGAACTAGAATTTGACAGTAAAAAGAGCATTTTGAGAATTTTACCTAAGGTGAAGGAAATCACCTAACAGGGAAAGGTCATATTGCACATTAGTCGATCCGTATTGTCGAGAAGAAAAATAATCATATAAGGTGTTTCATTGCTCTACCATATCTCTCTCAAAAGTTATTGTCCAAAACCTACTGGGGACCTTTCATGACTTGAGATGACCTCAGTAACATAAAAGTGGTCACATCACAAGTGAAATTTTCCGATTAAATGTGTCATGTTTACCTGTATCCCGATGCATGAGCGTGTTTCCGTTCTGAAGAAGATCATTTCAATTCTTTCCCGCGCCGTGCTGGGGAGGGGGGCGTTTTTACGCCCCCCCTTAGGTTTTTCGCAAATATCTCAAAAAACGGCGGCTCTGCATAAGTCTTGTGAAAATTTCAGACCAGGGTCGTTCAAGGCCAGGTCACCAGGTCACGTCAAGTGACCTTACCTCAGAAAAAGTTAAAAGGCTCGCTTTTGCTACAAAGGTTAGCTACACCGACTGAACGAGCACTTTTGAAACTTTCAAAGATTGGTAAGACTAACAAAATGTATAAATTTATCTAGGACTTTTGATATCTGTGACCTAAGATCAGGTCAATTTGGGGAACTCTCCATTGCAAGTCAATAGGAGAAAATTGAGATTCGCCTCTTTTGGACGAATGTCGTTCAAAACCCTCCCAATCATCGGTTCATGGTAAACAAAACACAATGAATCGGAAAAATGCACCTGTGACCCCTCTGTGTGCCCCTGAGGTCATCTCAGGTCATAAACGGTCACCAGAAGTTTTTTTTTGGCTATAACTTTTGATAGAGACGATGTAGCGAATCAGTCTCTTTTCATCTTCTTTATTCTGAAAGAGAATCGCTCCGAAACTCATGAGAGAAAAACAAATAAAACTTGTGCGTCAGACGTTTCGTGTTACGTAACACATTCTCAATGACATTACATTACATAGTAGACATAGTACACATGATGCAAGGTTAAGTATATATGTTACAGGCAAAGTGAAAACTCGGGCATTTTGCAAAATGCCTAGGCAATTTGCAAAATGCCTGACCGGCCAGGCATTTTGCAAAATGCCCAGGCAGTTTGCAAACTGCCTGACCCACCAGGCATTTTGCAAACTGCCTGAAATATTTTCCCAGGCATTTTGCAAAATGCCTGACATCAAACTCGCACTAGCGACGATGTATAAGTAAGCATCATTTGTAACTGCCGCTTACAAAAGATAATCGCTGTCAATGCGCACCAAGTGAGGGGACACTGCGTTCTCCGGGTAGCGCCGCCGAGTTCAGGTCACTGAGCCCCAGCGGCCGTCGGGTGCCGAGCACCGGGCGTGGTTTCGTGGGTAAACATGCGCTCGGTATAATGATTGTACTGTTTCTAAGAGCTCTTGGTGGCTTTTTGAAAATACTATGGGTGGATATTGATCAGAAAAGAATACCCTTCCAATTTACGAAAACTTGATTGTTACACGTTTAGGTACCTACATTATCAATCGTCTCTGTCGGAACAGTTGCCCACCAGGGCAGAATACTGGACATCGCAGCTTTTATACACACAGCTACAACTCCGTATATACGAAAGGTACGGAGACGGTGGCTCAAGTCCATTCAGCGTTGGCTCCATCTCGACAGAATTGACGCAAGAGCCAAGACGTAGGTATACAGAGTGTCACGATCTTGGTACGTGGTTGGCGCGGTCTTGTCCCTTCATGCCCCTCCTGAGTGCCGGGATGTAATTTGACGGGTCCAGCACCAGGGCATTTGGACCAGGGCACTCGGCGTCTATAAATCGTCCATCCCCCGGTATCTGAAGATTTTACCCTGAAGCTGAAGCCGCTCAACCTCAGGCTGCAACCCTGATTTACCGTCATCCGTAAGTGATGCAGCTGGATTTCGACAAAACCCACCAAATCTGGACCATTCAGAACTAGAGATTCAGACTTTCCAATGATGAGGCCGTGAGGCGATATTAGCTGTTTTCACGACGGCCATCTGGTACACATTTGGTTCACATCTGGTGCAGATTAGGTGCATTTTGGTCAAATTAGGTTCAGTGTGTCTCTTAGTAGCTATCAGCTAGGGTTGTACTAATTGCTTATATGCCTCCTTTGTCATATTATCAGAGAGCATCATCGGTTAAAACACTGAAATAAATTCATAAAATAAAGATATTTGCTGTAAAAGAGATTAGGTGCAGATTTGGTCAAATTAGGTGCACTCACCGGATAGCCCGTCGTGAAAACGGCTATTAGAGCTATTCTTAGTCACTAACCGTCCCGACAAGCAGTTCTGGGCCAACAGCAGCTCAGAGGCGCTGCACCGTCGAGACGGTGAAGCACCCACTGGGCACTGGGGATTCTCGTTTGGGGTATGATGGGCTACAGAGGCCTATTTGAGCTTCACCAGGTGCCGCCGGGACAGACCATGTGGCCGCTGATAACTTGTGGCAGCGAGGTGCTTGAGAACACTGACGCAACTACGATGCAATACATTTCGGGACACAAGTACAACATCCCGCAACAATTTCGTGACACCCTGTATTCGTGACCGTGGAATGTGTCACATGTGCCCACAACACATGTGAAGTGTGTTGTGGGGTCAGTCACAGTGGAACGTTTATGATCAACGCCTGTAGTCAACAAAAACGGTGGAATATATGGAAACCCAGGCATTTTGCAAAATGCCTGGCGGGTCAGGCATTTTGTAAAATGCCTAGGCAGTTTGCAAAATGCCTGGTGGGTCAGGCAGTTTGCAAACTGCCTGGGCATTTTGCAAAATGCCTGGCGGGTCAGGCATTTTGCAAATTGCCTAGGCATTTTGCAAAATGCCCGAGTTTTCACTTTGCCTGTAACATATATAAATGAAATGAACTACATGTTAACCCGCGTCCCGCTGGGGGGGGGGGGGAGGCAGAATCTGCCCCCTCCCGTTTTTGGCCAATAACTTATAAACGCGTTACGGCCGCGACGTCAAACTTCCAGTACCTTGTCATACATCAATTTAAGACGTTTCCTGAAAATTTGAGCGAAATCCGTCAGTTTTTTTTTTTGAGAAAATGACGTTTTAGTGACGTTATGTCCGCCATTTTCGCCTCAAAAACGGCAAAATTTCAAACGCCGCTATCATCTTCATTTTTAAAAGAACCAAGACGTAACAAAAAAGGCTATACGTTATTCTACTTTGTCTGTCAAATGGCTATCTTGGGTTTTTTGAAAAAAAAATTGGATTTAGGACAATTTCTTTTTAGAACCGGCTTTTTTGGGAATATTGTTAAAAAATCCAAAATTTTGAGTGTATCGAAAAAACCAGAATATTTGTCAGAGAAGTGGTCTATGTGCACCTACATACCAATTTTTAGAAGAATCGGTTCAAAAATGTAGGAGTTATTAAAAATTTTATGACGTCACGACACACAAAATCTTTGAAAAATGTTTTTTTTTTGAAGTTCTAGACCGCGTACGGAAACAAAAATAGCACCATTCGATTCGCCGTGAAAAAACTGCACCAGATAGACACCTCTTAGGCCTTAACAACCAACTTCAAAATTTGACCTCACTTGACAATTGACATGACCTTGACCTGACCTCGACCTGAAATTCATCCAGATGTGGTCCATATCACTTATTGAGTGTGCCTATTGAGTTATATGAATAAAATGACCCATAAAACATGTGTCGCACATGCCCTTTCTATATTTCGTTTTTGGTGACCTGACCTGACCTTGACCTTGACCTTTGCATGATATTGTATGCAACGAATATTGTCTTGGTAACCTAAGAATACGTTTTGGGCAATCAGTCTCAGTCCATTCTTCGGCAACTACGGTGCAAGGCCGATACTGTAGAAACTTGCATTTTGTACCCTTGACCTGACCTTGACCTGAACTCAGCTAATGCTATGCGCATTCTTTTTGCTATATGTATGTTGGATGATGATGTAAACAATAAGCAAATTGTTACAAATGCATCCAAATATTTTCAATAAGGAAGGATATGAATATATTTGAATGCATTTGTAACAATTTGCTTATTATTTACATCATCATCCAATCCAATCTGTCATGGATACTCAGCATTTGCTATATGTGCAGTCGTTATACTAAGGATCTCGCGTAGTGTCGGGAGTGCACTGGGCCGGCCACCACTGCGCCGAGACTGAGGGGAGGGGATAAAGGGGAGAGTTTGCTCCGATATTGTGGTAGCCGGCCACGGACGTATAAATAAACTGGACCGGCAACCACTTCCATTCAGATGAAGCCAACAAGGCGCCATCTTACGTTGCCAAAAAAAAACATGCTCTGGAAGGTCATCGAGCCCAGTGGCGCAGCCAGG